AGGATGCCTGAGGCTGAGCACACGTTCTACTTCGACTCAGAATCGCTCTGGCATTTGAATGCGATGCAGGAACCAGCGAAGTATCTATCTATGTACATGATATTCGAAACCTAGAGTTTTAGTTCTAGGCCAATCCTGTGCCGTGCCAGCTTCCCATTTATCTATTTTGATTATTAATTTATTATTAATTTGTCCTTGAGATGTAAACCTATGTTGGAATAGGATTCATTCTGAGCTTCGGGCTCCGGATACGGCGCTTCGAAAGCGCCGTCTTTTATCACAGCACCACTTTCTCTTGAAGGCAGCTGGTAAGATATCGCCTACCGTTGGAAACGGAAGCTGGAGGTAGTCGCTGGTACAGTAGCGAAGCAAACACCAGGGGAAACTGCCTGAACCAGCTAAGTGGGAGCACCTTGGGCCGGTTCATTTCGACTTTGTGAGAATTAGTCGAGCCAGTAGTGGCTTGCATAATAATTAATCAAATCAATTTTAAATTTGGATATTAATTAATTTTCAATGTATTTTTTTCAATAATTGAATGTTAATCCCGGTAGGTGGTACACGTAATCGTGTAATGTGATTTTATCATCGACGCATTACAGAAACAAACTAAATGGTATGGTCACCTAAGGTAAAATGTACTTTAAATCAAAAGCGAATTAAATGGTCCATAAGAGTATCTAACATGAGCACCTTTCTACTATCTCTGTGAAAGTGAGACTTTTCACGGTGAAACTCCAGTTCGGGGGGGGGGGCACTCCATTGCTATCTTATCCGTAGTACTAGAGAGCAGTTCTTTGGGCTATCGAACACTACGGATAAGATAATAAGTGAACGACTCATTTCGAGCGTACTTTTGATAAGGACCGGTGGATGTCCTACATTCCACACTACCTGCCCACATCCCATCCACTTTTCTGCACAGGTGATCCACCCTGGAGCTCCTGCACCCTTAGCCCTTTGCGGAGGTGTCCTTTCTCCTGGTCCAGGACCGTTCCCTTGGGTCATGGCAGGCGGAAATGTGAAAACGTTTCAGGGTTTCTCACCCATTACACCAATATTTATCAGAAGTCTACTTTAAATGAGTCGATTACGTGTCGTGAGCCCTCTAATCCTTATCTTGAGTATTGGAGAAAAAATGGAGTGGCCCCCCCGAACTGGAGTTTCACCCTTTTCGCAAAGGCGACGTGTCACAACGGCTATGGTCTGCTAGGCTGCCAAGGGAGCCTTCACCGCGAAAGAGCAACGTCTCGATCTCTTAGGAGCGCTGCCACCGCTCCAGTTAGCACATTCCCCTTTCTGAAACATCGACTTTGTCGTACCTTCTCTCTTCGATGTTGCTCTGTCGCCAAGGAAATCAAATAAATAACTTGATCCCATTCCACATGAGTTTTCCGCTCCTTCTTCATTCATCTAAAAATATCCGTTCTACACGCTTCTCAAACACTCTTTCTCTTTTATCTACTTCCTACGGTGATATTACACTCGTGAAGAACACAAGAAGGGCAAGACGTACTCAAGTCTAACAGTGAGCATCTGAGCGTTATCAGTAGGAACTCTTCTGGTTAGCTATTCAATGCTCTCGGTCTTTCATTGGTCATTCTGTGGAGTTCCGCGTATGCTAAAAAAAAGAATTCATTGCTAAATTTGAAATAAAGGCGTGATTCAGTAACCGGCTCGGATTAGCCAGCTCATTACGGGACGAATCCTCGATAAATTGACAAAACTACTCCACTTTTGTGGCCACTGGAACAGTCATACAGTAGTCGACAAAAATATAGACTTCTTGTGAAGAACAATATAATATGATGTACATTTTGTGATGCCCTAAAAGTACGAATACAATGTTCCAGTAAGAAAGGAACCCTTTCACAATTTGTCTTGTGATTTCTCCCCCGCCGCCCCCGGAGCAGGGTCAATCCCTCCCGCTTCGAACATTCAAAACGCCGCACCATCCTACAACAGCCGACCCCTGCCCGGAGGGCCTACCCGGACCGACCGCCCGCCCCGCCCCCAATGCCTCCACAACCACCGCTTATCCTGAACCTATTCATTCTACTCCGAAGCACTGATCAACACCTCCCTCCTAGACAAACTTCGCTTATCACCCCGATTCCTACACAACCTCGCGGCAGAATTGGGTACAGGCCGTAGTTATACACCCCCACCTTCCCGCGCATGGCAAACTTAGACGCCACATTTCTCGCTCCCGTCGAGCCTTCTCGATGGCATGACCCTGCCATAAAAACAAGTAGTCACTCGATCCCAAAACCTCCCCCCCCCTCCCCCCCTACTCCTCCGACCAGAGGGTCTAACCGTGGTTAGCCATGTATCACGTGAAATGTAGCAGAAATTGTGTGATAGAATTAAAATTTGAGGTCAAATTGGTCGAGCAGGCCGTATTATTAATGAAAAAAATTACATTGGCTCTCTGTGTCTCCATAGCACTCTAATTGCCTTAAATATAACGCAAGCTCACTTCCTGTTTCTGGGAAAGTAATAAAGCTCCCCGCTGATCAACGCCTCCAATACCTCAGCCGCCTCTAACTTGTGGGAATGATAGCTACGGCGTTCTATCAGGGCATACTACAACATTTCAAACTGTACTTGTGGAATGATTCGCACGCATAACCTAGTTTTGGTTTTCTCAACATACACACCATCGCCGATCTAAAGGCTAAATAGAAACTTGCACCCCCCCACAAAATTTTCTACTTTTCACGTGCTCAACCTGACCACCCACGCCTACCTCCCTGTCACTGATGGCCTTCGAGCTAGACTTACTCTGTCATCCCCCTGTCCTCTCTTAGCGTATTCAGCAAGCCAGACACGAACTTGATAAATCAACCTAGCCACTTCCTTATTCAGCGCCCTCGAGTGACGCTGCTTAATAAAACGAAACAAGTCGTGAAAAGTTAAGCCAGAGATCCGTAGGCGGATTGCACAAGAACCAGCACATAACTATTGTTGACGATTATTCTACGAAAGCGATACCCTATGGGATTTCTGCGGTCGAAGGGCACCAGGAGAGCACACAGTAGGCTATATCTTGGAAACCTTGCGAAACTACATCGAGGAATTTCACGGGTGTATAGATCCTTCTTAGAGTGCGTCGCACCCAATAGCCTGATTTACCACCACGACCAAAACACGCCCGAAGTCACCTTTCCCACATAGGTAATCCGTCTATATCCACCACCCAGAATCGTCGTTTCCGAGTGTTTTCACCAGAATTGAATGGCTTAAGGTTTTTTTTGTATCAGAGTGATGGTTTTTGGAGTACAGCTTCTCTGCTGGTTGACCATGCGTTCGAAAGCATTTTTCGGAATGGCTCTTCGGACGTTAATTTTTCTCTCCGGACCGGTTCTCTTTAAAATATATTATCTATGCTGCCCTTGGTTTTTCGAAACCACAAATAATTAAAATTCGGGAATCGCTTGAAAACTTATGAAAAAACGTCTCATTTGATACTTTTGCCGTTTTATTTACTACGACAAGTCCGAGTGTGCTCGTAGCTTCGCCAAATCTTCAGTAGAGCAACATCTTATTGTGGAGTTCAAGGTTTGAAGGTGATTCAAGTCTAGTGGACTTGCTGGCTGCAGCTACCCACTGACGCCTTCTTGCACAGTTTGCACAGAACGTCCCACTTCTTGTTTCTAGTGACCATTTGTCGAGCCATCGAAACGTGACTTTCTTAGCGCAAACTTTGACAGATGTTTACACGCGTTCTCCAAGCTGCCTTATGCAGCTCGAGTGGTATCCATTGTCTTAGTTTGCGCAACTTCCCCATATTCCTTTGTTGCAAATAATCAACACTCACCAATCGCTCCAAACATTGCTTATTTTCATGGCTAAAGCTGGTACCTAGGGAAAGTTTGGTCATATTCTTCTGTTCAAGATGTCTGGTGCTTCAAACACAGGGATATTTCAAGGGCTGAAGTTGTTTTCTAAGAATAACTCTAAAGCCAAACAGCGGTTAAACAACATGTGTAGAAACTGAGGCTTCGACACCCATCAGAGGCGTGCGCAGCGGTCGATCGGCCTGGTTCACGTATATCTATTGCTTTTTACTGCTGCTTTTCTAACTGCTGCTTTTGACCCCATTTAGCCTAGAGCAAGTCTCTAAATAAGTGCTTTAGCGAAAACGGTACAAGGTTGCGTGAGCAATTACAGCTATTTTGAGAAATAGTTATTTTTCTATTGTTCAGTGTAATAAATAACGCAAAAGTAGTTCTTTCGCCTTCATTCGAGTGCGTTTGCACCTAATCCTGGCCTATCCTTTCCTTGGATATGAACCTAAGGTGTCAAGACGGATATCATTTGTTTAGGTTCCGTCGTGCATTCGCGGCTGCCACACTTGGCGACGTCTTCAATGTTTGCTGCATATTCGTGATACTCCCCTTGGAGCTCGCCACAGGTTCGCACAACTCAAACGGTATCGATCGATTTTTGAGTGATTTTTCTTCCACACCTGAATTTACAGGTTTCATCGAGAAGCTGAGCTGGTTGATCGTGGATCCATTGATCGCCGAACAAGGTATTTCTATAAAAACACTCGACTTGTTAACGGATCCAGTCAACCGTATGATATTGGAGGTTCGTCGCCATGTGATCACTGAAATGTTTTGTTCTTTCATAAGCTGTGGCACAGTTTCCTGAGGAGGACGCTCAGCCGCCCCTCTGCCACCAGATGGCGTGGTGGTATTAGAGGGGGATGGTTCTACAGAGTCCAATTTCCCGTACCATCCACCTTCAAGGTTTAATAATGTAATGCAGCAAGACGGGTATTATAAAAACATACCAAAATATATAAACATAAATAATAAAATAATAAAGGATAAAGCATTTGCCGTTGATCAATCCCTTTTTGGGATGCGGCACGCATTCTACTTCCATTTGTACATTCGTAGTGGCGTTTGAATGCGATGTGGCCTATACAATGACTTGCGGGGGCCAGCCGATGTTCAAGTCAGTGTTTTTATCCTCCCAGACAAGTCTGGTACCAATTAACCGACCCCGGAGGGATGGAAGGCTTGGTTGGCCCGGGCGACTCACGACCCAGGATTTGATCCCCGGACCGCTCGCGTGGTGAGCGCGCCACTTGTCACTACACCACTTCCGCCCATATAATAATAATATTAAAAATTAATAAAAATAGATATTTATTATTATTTATTTATTTATTTGTTGCGCTTAAACAGCGCGCTGCTACAATGTCAAGTCATCAAAGAAGTTGGGGAGCACCCACCACAAAAACTGATCGCAAAAACTGAGAGAGCAATTAATTATAATAGCACAGGGCTTGAGAAGAAAAAAAAACAAAAAAAAAAAAACATAGATTGATAAAAATACAAAAAACAAAAAATAAAACTAGGGAAATGAACTCTGAAACGAAAGCAAAAACAAGATAAGATCTTCTTAGAAGATAGGAAAGTATGAGAGGTAAATAGGAGCCCACATCGAGTGGTCGCATGCACCAGTGGTACTGTTAAGAGCGCATACAAAGAACGTGCAGTACAGTCCATCAGTTCATTAACTGAAAATTTGTAGCGGTTAGGCTAGGCTGAAAAATGACCCCAATGAGGAGCTAATGTTAAGCAGCAGCACTTCTCAAGTCCACATAAGGAGGTGCGTTGCGTGGGTACCAGAGACGTAAAGTTCAGAAGCCCGCCACGTCACCAACCTGCATCAGTCGGCTATGATGCCCGGTCGCCACGTATGGGGTCATGGGGACTTGCCGAAACTTCGAAACACGGGTATACCGACCGCCCTCGTGGAATCGGCAAGCTAGGTAAGTAACACAGCTAGGCCACTGACCAAAACGCTTGGAACACCACGAAAAGCTCCTTAGTTGTGTGGGCTTGGATGAGAACGACGAAGAGACCATTATAAATCCACTTATACTTCTCAGATGTCAATTACCTATACTGCAACGTGCTTGTAAATGCTTGCTTACTATAAGGGCGGACCACTAGACGGAGGGTGACCGGTTGACAAAGAGAATGATTCAATCACCAAACGAGCACACAATGCAACAGTTCGACAAACTCCAGAAGCGTTCGTTTAGCATTATTTACAATTTATACTCCTCCCCCAATTTTTATACCTTTTTCTGAAAATTCCTGGGTTCATTGCGCAAATTCGTATGTGTGTACCAAATGCCATCAAAGTCGGGCTGGGAGCTACAGATCCGCCAACCAAACTAACATTGCTTTTGTTGGAAGGAATACTACCGTTTGGAATGCTCAACGGTTCTCCTCAGGTTTCCTAAAAGACAGTGAAGTTTTTGAAAGGATGCCGGCAATCGTCTTCAAAAAGATGGCCCTAGTTAAGCCAGCTGAGAAGGGGCTGCACCAGACTTGTGCTGAAATGGTAGGATACTTTCACTCTGATGGAATGATGATGCGCAAACATTCCTATGGATTTGATTCCGCAAGATATTCTGATAAATGTGTTCACCTGCCCCTCACGCGCGCTCAAAAAGGGTGCGTTTTTGACCCTATGTTGCAAAAAAGTCTCCATAAAAAACTGCCCGCTTAGGCTGATAAGTTCTAATTTTTCTGTCGTGCAATGCAGACCCTACGCTAACCAGCTGTACACTTACTTTGTCCAGGCCTTACTTTTAAGCAAGTAACAGGGATGATTTATCAGAGGATGTCAAAACCGACCTGCCTCTACTTTTTAACTCAAAAAATTCCGAGCTTGGATCGTGCAAGGTTGCCACTCTAACTGTTAGATGAGGGGATCCTAGTAAGTCATTTTATGATTAAACTAACTCCCTCCCCGGGTTTTGAACTGAAATATTGCTGGTCCAATACTCTTGGTGAAAAAACGACATTAAGATATCCGGTACCTAATAGATTTTTATAGAATCGGAGCAAGTGGAGACATTGGACATCAGAGAGAGAGAAGTGTAGCTAGGAAGGGTGAAGGTATGGCGGCCTCCATATGTCGAATATAGGACCAAATATATAATCACGGCATCCGTAGCAGTCGTAGTAATACTGGAAATGAGTCAGCTAGAAATCTGTAATGTGAAGAGTTGACAACAAGTCAATCTTGCTAAGTCTTTTTTTGAAAACAGAAACATTGTTATATCAGATTTGTAAAAAATATTTATATAAATATAAAAAATATATATTACACAAAATACTTCCGGAGAACCCAGCGCATCTACCTCGCATAGAGAAATTGAAGTAGTGCAAGGTATTCCGACGAGCTTGATCGAGGAACAGGCGTTCGGTTATTTTAGTCTATGTGGCTGCTAATTCCCAAAATAGGAAATCGTCATCAGGAATGACGATGGCGTCTTCGTGGTCGCTAAAGTTCAATATTCAATCTATCATGTATATCACGGCCACGAGGTGGTTGCTTCTTGTGACGGAGAGCGTACAGAAATAAAGCAGACCTCAAGTGAACAATAAGGCAAAAGAAAGTGTCGGAAAGGCTAAAATCGAGAGTGTACGAGTTTTGAGGTGGATGAAGATATACTGAGCATTGAGGAGAGAGCGCAGGCGGCGTAGTAACTCGCACAAGCGAACGCAGACTACCAGACGTGCAAATCGTTGCACGATCCATTAACATAGGAAATTGCATGAGGCGCAAAAATCGATGCTCTACCATCCTTGTTCCGCACTTTCAAACCACGGCAACGGCACAGGCTTCATTTTTGCAGGTAGCTATACCCTATTCACTGGAGGAATCGCTTCATTCAGCTGAATCACGGAATATGCCTCAAATTAGTCACGTAAATGTTGACCTGTGAAAGCCAGATTAATTGAAACCATCCAAAGCAAACACAGAGCAGGAAAATTGTCTTGAGTTTGCAGTGACTTGAAAAGAAATGCATAAGAAAGTCACAGTATGGAAGTCCCGGCACTTGCTGCTACACCACCTCCATTAGGAAAAATAATTGTAGAAGTCATTCCTTCTTGCTTATTGGCATACTCTTTGATTCAGCTGTAAGTTTCAGGTAAACGAACCCGAATTACGAAATGCGACCATAGACGACGATTTCTTCCCACCTGATCACTCATTTGTTCTTCGATGCGCATTCAAAAATGGTTCACGTGTTTATAATTGTAAGTGATTTCAGGACTCAACCGCACGGTATACACTAATATACTCAAGGGCATATGACCTGGCAAAGTAGTTTGGTTTACAATATTTGAAGCTTTTCATCCCCTTTCAAGCTAGCCTAAACGCAGCTGGCTTTAAAATATAAGTCTTTAGAAATTGTTTCGAAATTTCAGACACAAGTTATCTAAGCAGTCTAATAAAAAAGTTCGAGTCGGGAACGGGTTTCAGCATCAATGTTCAGCAAATTGTGAGGCGCTTCAAAATCATTCAGATAAATTAAACACCGGAAAGCCTTGAGTTTTCGAGTTATCTGCTACGCACGGAACTTGATCCCTTTGTCAAGCACTTTCTAATAGATATAGTTGGATGATTTGAAACCACGTACGTTTTCCTTAATATTTGTGAAAGTCTAACTTCCAATAGTTACTTTTGGAGGGAATTTGTTCAAATCTTAGTATTCCACGTAAATATTAGGGTTGGTCCCATAATTAGTGAATCACTTTGGGTATTTTTGAGTTCAATTATTTTTTCTTTTTGATTCGAAGTCCTTGCTCATCCCAACATACACCTCTGTCATCTATAATGTATTGCCTATTCATGGGAATTTATTCGGTCACTTTCCTCTGAAAGTGCGGGAGATCTTGAACGAAGAAGGACTGGAAGTCGGGTTTGAGGTCGTATCACTTAGCGTAAAATTTCTTTTTTGAAGAGGAGTGCTAGAGCTCAGACAAGGTTGTCCTTAGCTGGTACGAGGATAGTGCTACACAACGAAGCTGAAAGAACTGTTAGCCTGAGAGTCGCCAACTTTTTATAAATAATCTACCCAAGGTGGGTCGAACGACCTCAGAAAAAAAGCCGACTTTGTCTTGCTTTGCTTTCAAATTGAACACGTTGCCACTGTGCTGTCCACGTTTGCCTTCTTCACTGAATTCTAGTATTACTGAGGCGGCGGTTCTCAGCGCAAGGTTCCTTTCTTGTTTCACCAACATTTCAGAAGTGTCGAACATAGAGGAAGTTGGGCTTTTGCTGTCAGAACTCCCGAATCGCTTGAGCTAGGCTACTGCTCCTGGTGGATTTGCTAGCACACTCCACCCAGTCTACAAAACTGGTGAATATGCAGGACGGTCACTGAAACGAACTCTAGGAAATCAAAAAGGAACATGATCAGATGTCAGATTCGTGTTCGAGGGTGAGATCGGACACAGAGCATGTGAGATACAAATTCCATATTTTAAATTCTTTACGACTCTACAGAAATCCCTACATTCCATAATCTGAACAAGTCGGATATGCTCTGACACATAGCGACTACTTTGTCCAGATCCAATCACAGCTGCGCTGGGTAGAGCAGCAAGATTGCCAGTAGAGGGGTAGTTAGAGTATCGGTCATCTTCAAATGGAAAAGCCAAATCCGGAACAGAGTGAACCGTGGATTGAAGGAGTGTGTCCTCGCCTATTTGCTGGTTGATCCACTACGTTGGTTGGCGTTTGAAAGATGCTAATCAGAAGTGATGAGTGAGGAAGCTCAAAATAGGTTTTAGAAAAATTGATGTTATAGCCACGTAAGGCAGCGTGTAAATGGGCTGACCAAATGCTCAGGTAGGATAATGTGGGTGCTACTTCGCAAAACATCTTCGACGCCTTTACCATTTTTCTTGAATTTTTTATAGCAATGAATGTAAAGTGATTCACTAATTATGGGACAACCTAATAATAATAGTATCAAGCTGCATCAGCCTGCAGAGGCCTTACGGTCTTGGCATGGTGGCGTGTGCCCGCCTTTGGTGAAAGGGAGAAGGAAATGACCGTGGTGAACCTAATGGATGCAGCCAGAGGCCTGGGCTGCAGATACATATAACCAGGTTCTTTCTAGCCGTTTGCTTTAAAAAACGATTGCTTCAGATCCCTACAGTTCTAAAGACCTTCCTTAGGTCCTCCGATTCTTCAGGTTTCAGGTCTAAAGGTCTTTCATTCATCATATTTCCAATGTTTTAGTTTAACCCATAACGGACGGCCAGTGTATTTTTCGCGTGCGCCACCATGTGGCGCACGCCGCCACCCAGGGTAGGGTTTATGTAGGCTTATGTGAACAGCAGGGGTAAGACGGGGCTAAAGTAGGTGTCGGGAGTCTCATCATCCGAAAAAGAGATTTCCGTTGACGACAAGTTCGTAGCCCGCCTTTCCGCTCTAAAACTAGGGTGCAAAGAATGAATGGAAGCTGTAGGTGACATTATCGAAAAATGCGAAACAACAACCCCGAGCAAGGATGTGGCTATATTTAGGGGAAGGGGTCTCGGGACGTGCGAACCATGGGTAAGCCACCCATCAAATAGTAAACTTATGTAAATTAAACAATGTATGTAAAATTTATTGTAGGTTTGTCAAAAATCCAGCCGTCCAGGTCCTGGGAAGATATGTTATTCCACATTGCTGAGAGTATATATGGGTATATTAAGATTGCTAGAAACATTCCAAAAACAAAGAAATAGTCGTGCGCCACCTTGTGGCGGGGGCGCACGGGGCCGTCCGGTGATGGTTGAAATTTGGCTTGTGATATTTTCCTTGTATAGAATGTCTGGGGGAAAAGTGCTAGGTGCAATGAATGAAGGGACTTCCTGAGGCCATTTATTTTATGTAGCCAACTACCCGCCCTCATGAGGGGATTTTTTTGAATTGTTTCATTCATGCTCGAAATAGGCCGCTCTGTCGCGAGTAAGTGCTCCTATTACCTCTCACTTTTCCCACCCACTTTCATTCCCGATATTGCAGTTGAAATACGGTTTGTACTTTTATCGCCGTCTATAGTACTGTATTTCGTTGTGTGTTCCCCTCGATTATGGCAATTATCGGTATAGTGTACAATAAATGGTGCGATCAAGGCGAAACATTGATCAAACCGAATTTTGCTGTACTTGATCCCACCACAAAAAGAACCTGTCAAAATAATAGACAGTCTATGAATCTTGCGTATGATCGATTTTCACTTATTGACGATGATACGTCTCTCCCCTTCAACTTCAGTTTCTCCTTGTTTGGAGATTGGGCGCAGATTCAGAACTGTCGGTTATTTATGGTTTAAAAACCACTACTGCAAAAAGTTACCACATAGAATTTTCTACTTTTCACAAGTGGGGTTACTCTCGAACGAGTTTACAGATATCAGCACTATTTGAAAATCGAAGTGTAGAGAGGGTGAATTGGCAGACGCCTAAATTCCACAAGTTTAAAGGCAAACCCCTGGATTGGCCCGACTAGTAGGAGGGATATCACTAGGGAAATTGGAAGGATCTGTCTTGGACCTACCTAGATCACTTCAACTTGGTCGCGAAAATCGCGCGGTTAGGGCGCTACGGGCCCTCGACCATTTCCAACGCTTCCCACCCACCGCGAGAGTGGTGAGATCAGCGTGCATTGATGTAGAGATCAGCGTGCTCTCTCAAACGACGTGCTCTCTCGCGTATTTTGTCTTCTTTGACCGCCCTTTCTCGCCATCGTACCACATCCGACCCTGTTGAAGGTTAAGGCCTTAATTTCAGCGTTCAAGAATTTCTCTTGCTTTCCTTCCCACTTTCAGGTCGTTCCGCAGCTAAGGTATCACTACAGAGCGCTGATAGCACTAGTTCAATCCCGGAGTTTGCCTTTAATGTAATCGCAAATAAGTGGCAGATTTCGTCCTCATGTTAATGATCATGACATGAATGATATCATGAAATCTAAAAAAAATTAATCAATTTAATCTAAAAAATTCTATCCTGATTTCATATTTTAAGGTCCTTATGCCCATATATTCGCTTATTCTTCACTCTCGGATTCAGCGATTGGATGGATTGTTCTTTTGTCCTCCATAGCATCTCTGGTGTTCTGTCTGATCGCAATTGTCTACCTGATTCAGGCAATCTTTGCGATTTATATTAGCTTTTTTCAGGAAGCCTGATCTTTTTAGGACATTTCACTGTGAAATGCACCAGTCAAGAAGTAACGCACAAAATATTATTACAGGCACTTCTGAAAGGTCCTTCTGCCAAGTATGTTCGAGGCCTACTCAGTAAGGAATGCCCTGGAAGATTCAAGTGTTGTACCGGCTATGCAGTGATGCTTGTTGGTCTAATAATTACGCTAGCTGTGAGTTACTTATTTTATGAATGTTTTCCCAAGGGGTAAAACAAATCCTTCCAGGGAATTCAGGCCTTCCACCTTATCTTGGCGTTTTAATGCCCTGAGTAATCATAGATTGGACGGGGCAAACAATGAAAATGCAGGATAAGAATGGAAGAGGTGGTCAGTGATTCACGGACTAAGAAAGAAGCAAGAAAAACGGGACTCTTTTTTTGCCCGTTAATTTCCGCATTGATGCGAGTCTACTCGATGCTGTCATCATCAACACTGATGCTCTCTCTGCCGAGCGTTTACAGTCGGACGGCGAGAGATCCCCCATCAGTGGGCGTGCAGCGGCGTGAGCGGCGCGAGTGTGGCCTTGCTAGGCTGCTAAGGGCATACGCTTTGCTGCGGAACGTGCTTCGTCCAGCACCCATAGACCCTTCTTCGATATTCCAGTTTATTGTTGAATCCTCTTGTAAGTAGGCATCATAGCTTATTTCTGCAGACCTATATGTTTGTGGTTCTGTGATGTTGACGTAAAATAAAGTCTCTCTAAAGTATATCAAAATACGTGCATTAAGTATTATAGCATACGTTAGATATTACTTATAACTTCAGAATCTATTTTAGATCCAATCCAACAATATTTTTGCGTCAGCACTTACGCCTTTGGTGGGTTCCGGAGTCATAACTCTGGAGCAAACGTACCCACTAATTCTGGGAGCGAACATAGGTGGATCATTCAGTGCTGTTCTGGCAGCTCTTACCGCAGATGGATCCCGCTTCGAAAAGTGAGTTTTGTATCGATCAGTCAAGAAAGTTCGAGGCACTTCACATACAATTAAGGACGCTACAAATGGCAGTCTGCCTAGTAATGTACAACATTATTGGTACGTTCATGTTCTACTTGATTCCATGGTCGAGAAGGTTACCTATCTATATGTCCACACGGCTCGGTGAGATAACTGATCAGGTACATGATTTCTAGTGATTCTTTTGGTGTAAATGGAAGAAAACTCTCCCTGCCAGCCAGAAAAATTCCAAGAAAATGGATGACAAATCCAAGCATTATAACGCCTTGCAGACGGGTCAAAATCTGATGTGGCCGTTCGCGATGAGTGACGGGTTTCTTTGCGAAATCCCAATTCTCATAGAAGAAATCAAGGCGTAGAATAAGCAATTGATCTGCTAGTGTTTTTGTGTTATATGGTTACCAAGCGTCGACGTTAAAGGAATCCTTCGCGGAAAATTCTTGCATTCTTTCTTAACATGAATGTGTCAGTTGTGATCACTGGAAACAGCACACAAAGTTTCACGCATGAAGATTCGGTTTCCGAAGAGAAACAAACGTACAAAAACTACACTCTATGGACAATCGAAGGTAATTCGGGCGGAGCCAAAGGCGAGGCATGGAAAGAAGTTGGCCTTTGGCCGGCTACGTATCAGGCGACGCAATGAAAGAATCGGGTTAAAGCGCGCGATTTCGGAGAGTAGAGACAAATCGATCGATAGAATAGGATGGAGTAGAAGTGTAAGATGTGAATGCAATAAAGCAGAAGGCCAGAAAGAGTTTCTAGTGAAGGCACTCCAAGAACCAAGTGGAAGCATCCCCGTCGCCAGCATTTGTGAAAGACGTCCGTGGGCACTTTGAACGCGTAGCAGCCCTTTCGATTTTTCGAATTTTTTACCAAAACAAAAGCAATATTTCTGTTCTTTTCATTTTTATCGTGGATGACTTATGGCTGAAATAGAATCATGATTTTTCCGTGAAGGATTCCTTTAACACCTCACTTGAAGACTAGTTAACCGGAAAAATCATCTTCTACATTGTAAATTAATATGTTTCAGTACCGATGGTTTATTGTCGTCTTCATACTACTGTTTTTTGTGGTGATTCCTGCTGCTGTGGTTGGGCTAACGCTCCTTCCAGATTATGTCATCATCGTTTGCTTTTCAGTAATATTCGTCTTCGTTGTATTGATCGTTCTAATCACAGCAATGCAGGTAGTTTTTTTTTACCTAACAACTACGTGGGGGGGGGGGGGCAAAAAAAGACATTTTGTCTCCAGACTCAAATGGATTTAATCACACTTTGCTCAGCTCAAAGCGTGTGCTCCCAACTTAGAATTGAAGAGCGCATTTCATTTCATAAAAAATCTTCATAGTCATCTTCTCTGCGAAGAAAAAAAGGCCGAAATGCGACTTGCGCAAAATGGTTTTTTGCCCCCCCCCCTGTGTATTTAGAATGATCGTTTGGCTGGGTCACATCTATTCATTATAGGCAGTTGAATCTCGTTAGGCAATGGGGATCCCAACGTTCTCTAATCTAACCTAAGATGTTAAGAGTTTGGATAATGCAATGAAATAGAACTGGGTAGATGATTTTGTTCATGCTCATGAGCATGTCCATGAAATTAGGTTCAGTCTGGCCGCATTGTAAGAGGTCAAGCAACTCAAATAATGCAAAGCAGGAGAGCATATAACTTTTAACATTCCTCCTGGGGATACCACGCAGTCCATTCTAAAGGGATGGTAGTGAAATCTGTTTCCAGTCAACCTTATGGGCACAGTGAGTTCGGACGACATTCAAGTAGGTCGGTGCTTCTTCACTCCGGGGCATGTCTGGACCAACCGATCATCCTAGAAGAGGGTGGAAGCCTTTGTCGGCCTTGCATCGGTTACAGGATTTGATCCACAGATCGCAGTTCTCTAGAGCAGGACCAATAACTTACCATTCTATCACTACTGTCTTACCTCGAGGCGCAACAGCTTAAGGTACAACAGAAAAGCCAGTTTCCTCCCACAACTTCCTTCATGCTTTGAAAGACGGAAAGAAAGTGCCAAAATCCTCAAGAAGGTGCTTTCTATTATAGATACCAGAGTCCAGCATCTTATCCAACGCTACTTCAAGCGATCCTGGCGCATTGACAAAATCTCGGCTATGAATGCTATCATCCAGGGTTCATCCGAAAATGCTGCAAGTTTTGCAGTGGCGGAAGGGGTGCTTCAGCGTGGCGAAGCCGGCTATTCAACTAGAGTCATGCCCACGTTTGCACGTTCCTCATTCTGGCAATGAGGAAAAATCACCTCATTGGTTGGTAGTTTAGGGCACTTTTCTCTTCCCTGACCGTAAATGTTCCCAGGCTTTCTTAAAGGCAAACCCCGGGATTAAGCTGGTGCTATGAGGGCTTTGAAGTGATAGCTTTGTAGTGATAGCTCAGTTGCGGAACGACCTGAAAGTGGAAAGGAAAGCAAGAGAAATCTTTGGGAACGCTGAAATTAAGGCCTTAACCTTCAATAAGGTCGGATGTGGTACGATGGCGAGACAGGGCGATCAAAGAAGACAAAATACGCGAGAGAGCACGTCGTTTGAGAGAGCACGCTGATCTCACCATATCTCGCGGTGGGTGGGAAGCGTTGCAACGGGGTCGATGGTTGCAGGCCCGTAAGGATTAGCGCCCTAACCGCGCAATTTTTGCGACGAAGCTGGAGTGATCTAGGTAGGTACGGACCTTACAATTTCCCTCGTGGTATCCCTCCTACTAGTCGGGCTAATCCCGGGGTTTGCCTTTAACCAAGCAGAATAACTAGGGATCACACTCTTAAAGAGCGTTGGTATTGAATGGGTTTTGTTGTACTTATAATGACTTGATTTCTGGAAACTCTGTGCAAGACATTTTCTATTTCAGAGGCAATGCCCCAGAGTGCTACCGTCTCGTCTCCGCTCATGGCAGTGGACTCCAATATATCTTCGTTCGCTTGAACCGTATGATCCCGCAATGACGGCATTCTTTACGTCATTTCCCATTGTTGGTGGTTTTTTCAAACGTTCAAAATCGAATAACAATGCAAATGGCAACGGCACCTTTCATACGATGATCAAGCTCAGCAAACAAACTCAGGTTTAACGGGTGATACAGATCGCTCACTATCCTCTCGTCATTTAGCAGCTTTAACTTCACTTTACCAAAAATACCTACCGGGTGCAGTTGAAATTTCACGTTCAGTTGGTGATATTACAGTACATATTCATATACAATAGTAACCTGTATAGTGTTGAGCTCTTCTCATTCTGTCTATGTGTGCATCTATACGAGTATCACTGATCAGTGAAGAACTTTATTCTCAAATTTCCTGAGAAGATAAATATTTATCAAACATGCATTCACATTCAATTACATACACATTTGTACTCGTAAGAATTGGAACACAGAAAATCTGTAGTCAGATTCATCGACGGACGCTGAGGTTTTCGTTTTTCATTTCCAAAGAGTCGAAATGTGAAAACCCAGCGATAACGTTGATTTTCCTGGTTGTAAAAGCTTCATATGGCTTTGTTCCACGAAGGAGCCATATTGAAAGCTCGATCGTTGATGCACTTCAACGGCCACTTGGAGCCTTTCGAAGGTGGTGATCGACGCTGATTGTGAGTTTACCCCAGAATCGTCAAACATTAGCTATATCAGTGCCGTACTCGTCACCAATCCGTGATGAAATACCTGAAAAGTCCCCAAGTAAGCCTGGAAATGCCTTCAATCTCCCGTCTTTGGTCACCAGGACGACAATATTTTGGATGAGCACAACCGAAAAGCTGGACGTTTTGCTTGGCAGCTTTACGCTGTTGCCTGCAACTATCCTGTTATAGCTGCAACTGGAGCATGTTCTTTCAGAACGGTAGCAGAATGTATTAGAAGGAGCCAAACTTCTTGAGCTTTAGAATACCAGCTGCCCTACATTCTCTCCGAAAACCAGATCAATTATGCGTTATATGGAAGCCGATTTCTGCGGTCGACTACGAAGACATTTTCCCTGTGGATGCGCCATTCTGTAAATGTACCTCTGAAAATGTTTGGTTCAATAGGATTCAATCATTCGCAGGCACTCCATATTTCTTTTCAAAAACGCTGGGAACTTGAATGCTGGTTGGCCTGGCGAAATCTGACCCGAAATTAAACTTCTGGCCGTGCGCGTAGGAAGTAGCGCCACTTGCTACTGCGCCACCGCCCATCTTACACGTAAAAAATTTACACAAAAAGAGCACGTATGCATCAACGGAAACTCACACAACAATACAGAAGAAAGACCAAATAGGCAAGCACTAGATACAGCCATGTAGAACGACCATGAGAGAATACTCCTCTCGTGACCCTGGAACAGACTGTTAAGCATTTTGTAAGGACTTTTATTATATTTCATCTACCATCTGAATGGTTACATATTCTATTAATTGAATGTGATAAAATTGACGTAAGTTTGTTACTTCTCTTGTAAAAGTTCTGGCATCCAGCAACTGCATCACGGGAGGGATTTCTCTAATGGAAAATTGCGGGGCTAAACTTTAACCTCAGGTCTTCAAACACTCTACGCTTCGTCTTGAACCAATTTTTGAAATTATTTTTCGAATTTCTTCTTAAATCGCAGGCAGACCACACCACAAGGGTGTATTCGAACCAGGTCCCTTGCCATACCATCAACAAAAGGGGAGTGTATTCAGAGGGTTGTATGATATCCACAAACAGGAACGAGAAGTTTTGCGCAAAATATGTGCTCTGAGTTACTTTTTGACTCTATATCTCTGCCACTAGTTACTTGAACGCCTTACAGCAGGCCCACCGAGCGGCGAAACTTTTCAAGAGCTACTTAAGTGTCCTGCCAGACAGGTTATGGCAGTTCGCTTCAAATACCATTGATCTAAAGGCATCTGGCAGAAGCTCGACACTGGTGGATTAGTTTTCCACGAACCCTGACATTGTTTTCTCACACGCACACAAATTTGCACTTATTACTTGCATGGCAAAGAAAATAAAAGATTCATATTGAGGAAAGAGCATCCTTGAAACCTTCATGTGATCGTAAAGGTAAAGGTTCGTTCTCATGTTACTCCATGACATCGGTTTAGTAGTTTACACCCTGTTGAATGATTCTTGTAGGTTGAAATAGTGTTTGGACGGGTAGTTTCCTAAATGGCTTTCGTCTTTTCCAGGCTCTGAAGAAGGTGAAAGCACCGAAACGTCGGCCTAATAAAAGTTGTTGTCAATCTTGGTTGGAAGCTGTGCAACTAGGCTTTCATATTCTTTCATGTAATCAGTTCTGACTCAGCACACAACATACGAATTTCAGTGAATACGACAAATGTTACAGCACACTGTGAGGGTGCTTCGCCATTTGCAAGATCCGCCCCGCGATGGGCGTCCTGCACCACATGCAACAACTAAGCGACACTAAAATAGTTACTTACGTAGTCATATGGGTATAAGTCGTGCATGGGAGAGTGTTGAAGCGTAAACGTTTGCCCTTCAAGATTGGCTTGCCAATACACAAAGCAAGCAGTTCCAACGCAGACCCCTGGAAAGGTGGTTCAGACCATCTGCTAGCTCTGGCTTGTTCATGCCGACAAATAGGATGTATGTCTCTGCTTCGGTAAGCCTCCAATAAATCTACGAATAAAAAAGTCCCCTGTGAGCATACCTGTCAACAGCACGATGAATGTCGTCGACATACGACATTTCCGGCAACAAAATGGGCCGGTCACGACCACAGCACATGACATCACTATCGAAGATATCAACAGCCCAGCAATCACCACTTCAAACGCTGAAATGCGCGAGATCATAAGGAATGAGTGAGACGGACTTACTCACAATTCAAATCAAGCACACGTTGTAATCAGTATTTTCCCGTATAACATTCCACGCTCGCCACAAAAGGAAAAAAGATTTGTGAGTAAAGGAAAGTAGTCCAAAAGTGCAGAAGTCGTGCCCAGGTCGCGGCTTGAGTGTCAATGGCAAAGGCGTTCGTGAGTTATATAGCTATGACTCAACCCCTAGCTCGTGCCAGTTCTGATCGAAGCAGCGTTGCAAATGTTTTTTCGCGCAGGACTGTACCACAAACAGACCGGGTGAAAATCGCTCGAGGAAACGGAAACGGCTCGTCGAGGATTTTCGCCTGTTCACACGCTCTCCCGCGCGGACATTCACTCTCGCCACCCGCGAGCCGTCTGTGCTCTCCGCGCGTACATTCACTCTCGACACTACTCTCGCACAGTAGAGAGCCATGGTCAAGAAAATCCTTGATCGTTATTCGCTTGATACGCGCGCGGTGGGGATCGAATGCTGCTTCGTACTCTATCCTGGCCAACCAAGCCTTCCATCCCTCCGGGGTCGGTTAATTGGTACCAGACTTGTCTGGGAGGATAAAAACACTGACTTGTACATCGGCTGGCCCCCGCAAGTCATTGTATAGGCCACATCGCATTCAAACGCCACTACGAATGTACAAATGGAAGTAGAATGCGTGCCGCATCCCAAAAAGGGATTGATCAACGGCAAATGCTTTATCCTTTATCCTTTTCACCGTGGCAACAGTGAAGATGAGACACCAAGTGCCGTGTGTGATGTTTGTGATGACCTAGCTTCTGCGTACTTCGCGTTCCAGATTTCCTGATCACACCTTAAATTCTCCTCCTCCCTCAGCAATATGAAACAGTATTGACTCACTTTGCGTCGGAACATGCCTATAGACGAGCATACGACTAGGATACAGATCGTAATCATCGAAGAACCAGCGTAGACGTTGTAGTACCGACGACAAGCGCATATGACAATTTCCATAGGAACGTGTTGTCACACATTGCTTCAAAATTCCTCGATGCATTTGCAAAGCATCTAAAAATCTGTTCATTGAAACCACTGTTGTAATATTATACATAGGGGCAAGATTTGTTTATTTATTCATTTGAAACGACGCATAAGGCAGTCGTGGGAAACAACGATAAATGAGCAACAGTACAACAATCTTTCCTTATATATAACCTAGTTATAGCTCAACAAATTTTTCTTAGCTAGGCGTTTGAAAAGCACAAAAGTGGGAGTGACGAGTGCCACATTAGATTTAAGATTGCGGAAAATAAATAAATGACACGAGAAGACGTGGCTAATTCGTACAAATAAATAATTGCTGTTAATCTATTTTCCAGACGAAAAGAGATTGCTATCAATTTAATTTCTAGATAAAGAGGATAAAGCACTAAGCTGCCTTCGAAACAGTCTTTTTTTAACATATGGTCGAAGGCGCTCATAAAATGCGTTAACCCAGAGCTTAGCTTGCGGCCAGCTCACTCCAAGCTCACTGCAGAGATTTATTCAAGGAATCGAAGTCACGGTGAGACCTTCCGCATGCTTTAGACTCGAGGATGCTCCAGAGGAAGGGGTACAAGCGGGTCAAGATGCTTGTCTACGTTTTTGGTACTCGCGTCTGGTCAATAAAGACATCGGTAATAACTCGTTTGAGGCAGAAAGGTTTCCCAGTTCAGCCAACCTCGCATCATTCGCGGAGCAGCTTAATTCGATATGTGCAAACCACGACAGACGTCGATGGCTCGGAACCACTGACGGTGCGAGTCAATGATAGAGAGATGGTTTCATCATCCCCGAAAAAAAGCAAAATCTTGCATTAATTGGTCCGCAGGTTAACAGTGAATCGAATGAAAGCATCAAAAGGGCGTCTCAAGAGCGTAGAGCGATTTAGTGAACGAATTCTTTCTGCTAGCTGGGAGACAAAGAGAAATTAGGCACCAAGGCGAGAGACAGACTCGGTAACAAGAGCATAGGGGCGTCTATGATTACAACACATAAGCTCTATCTATCTAGCCGGGTGCGTAGCGTTTCTCCTCCTGGGGTCAGGTCACCTAAAATTGAGACGCCGTTCATTCGGAGCAAGCTTAGGACTAAGCCTAGGCCCAATCATAGGCTTAGGCATAAGCCAATGTGTAAGCATAAGCCTTAACCTAAGTCTAAACCCAAACTTAACCTTAAGCTTCAATGATCGCGCAACTGTGGTGACCTGACCCCAGGAGGAGAAACGCACGTCTCCCTATCTAGCCCAACTTTCGAGTCGCGAGGGTGGCACTACCTTTAGGGTTATCCAACTAAACCACCCATGGGAATAAATTTTCTGATTGACTAATCGCTAATCGCTAGTTGTGACTGAAACCTATTTAAAATTGATGAATGTGCCATTGGCGCTTTGTTAAATATCATCATGCAACAATACGAATGAAAGACCAAAAAATTACCGTGTTGAGTAAAACGTGTATGTGTCGACCAGAAATCAGATGTAAACGATGAAAGTAGTATACCAGTGCCAACTAATAGAATTATCCATGCAAAGACCTGTTGACCGCTGAACTGCATCAATAACGAGGCTGGAACGAGATTTATGGTGATGAAGTAGATATATAATTGGGAAGCAACTATTATAGTATACGAGAGCAATCCAATTCTCAAGGCGTATCTTAATTAATGATATACGGAATCTCTTAATCTCGTGATCTTACATTTAGTATTAATTCGCTACTTATCTGAGAAGACTAGCTATACGGGCAATTTTTTTCGGAACCAAGGTGAAAATCGGTCGAGGATCGTCGACATTCTTCGAGGATTTTCGCCTGTTCAGTCACGCTCTCCGCGCGGACATTCACTCTCGCCATGCGCGAGCCGTCTGTGCTCTCCGCGCGTACATTCACTCTCGACACTATTCTCACACAGTACAGAGCTATGGTCGAGGATTCCTCGACTGCTATTCACCCTTTTTAGAACCATTCAGATGTTGCCGCCGTAGCCTTCCACTCGGCTCCTGCGAATTTCCAATGCATACCTGGTCGCCCAGCCGTCCTACCTCCACCCTCCTTGATAAGCTGCACTTCCCATTGTATCTGGTCTCTTGTCGCTGATTTTTGCGGATCAACATGCGCTTTGCGGCATCGGCGATGGTTTCTCAAAGTTTCATACTGTCTCGTACTGTCGTATTCAAAACCTTGTCCCGAACGCGAAATCCTAGCAGCTGACGCTCCTGATATTCCTCATACGATATTCTGCGGTGAAGCCCTCGTTTATTATCTGTTTCCATCAAGTAACCGCTCAGATGTCGGACCAATCCTTCGATATTCGTGGGTTGTGCGTTTTCGCGTACCATACAGGTATCGTTTCGAGCTTGGTTTCTTCAATCTGTAAGTTGCGCTTGGCATAAATCGGTCGTTGTCCTCGCGGGGATCGTCGGTAGTAACCTTCCAACTTGTTTGCACAGCAATAGATACAGTAATTATCGACTCAGTTCCGAATTCAGGCCCATATTCTGCCTTCTGCCTCCTGCCATTAAGCCGATGTTCCAGCAGAGATAGGTTTCTGTCGTGCTGATGTGTTTAGGATTAACCCAAGGAATACCGCGCTGCTTGGGCAAAGCTTGAAGTTCGAAAGCCATCGCCGATCGAGGTTTATGGCCAGTGGAAATTGTAGCTGTAGATGTTTTGTGATTTCAATAATTTCTGTAAGCATTACTCTTCGTCACGGGTCTGTTGTTCCTTCTCTGTCGAAAAATTGTTGGAATTCCTCGTATTTTCCCGGAAAAGTTGGAGCATAACTAGAATGAACCTGAGAAATCCCTAAGCCGTAAGACCCGTCCTAGTTCAGAGAGTTGTTACTCCAACGGGTGCTATCAAGCATTCAAGCATTCTATTCATACATGAGGACATATAATACAGGCCAAGGCCAGCATGGGGATATCGTCGACGTCGGCTGTAGAAAAAAAGACGAGTTCCAAGACGACCCAAGGGACATTCATGTTTTGGGCGTCGACTGTCCCAGTCAGAGTAAACCTCATGTTCCTGACATTGGTTTGAAGTCGCTTTTGACAGCATACGCGTAGGAAAATGACGTTGCTTGTTTCCACCGGGGAATCGATCACAAGAGTACTCCTGGGTTTGACGACGATTGGTGGCAGGAAATATGTAAAGGGAATATAAAATGTGTTTAAGAAAGACGATAATGGAAATAGTCACGCAGGTAACTGGTCGTAAATTATGTGAGAAGAAACAGACGATGCGGTTTTCAAGAATCTGAGATTGTGCTTCGTGCTGTGGAGGAAGAAGCTCATAGCTTAGTTAACATATTTAATTCTAAATGAATGTATCAGGAACCCTCAAAGTTATATATCTCTGTGAAAATAGCCGATATTCCTGGCAGTCTAAATGAAGAGTAAAGAACGAGAACATAAAAGAAAGGTTTGCATTACTAAGAAGACTGCGAAGAGGGTTCATTCGATTTTAGATGATTTTTTATGAGGCACTCACGGCTTTTACGGGGTTTCGCGAGAGAGCAAGAATGAAGACCGAGAAAATGTTTTAATTTCCTTGAATGAAGAGGGATTGCACTAAGTATTTGGTGCTAATCAGCTTTGAAGCTTGGCAGGATTTCGTGCGTGGCAACCGACAGCTTTCAAAAAATCAATCTACCTGAAATCTCTCATCACATGAATTAATTCTATTTTCAGAATCCTTTTCACTTCGTTAAACTACGAATGAGTAACATAACCGTTTTGGCTACTAATTCTCCAGGGAGCGCGTTTAACCCTTGAATTCACTGCAAAGTGCAAACAAAAAACCCTCGAACGATTCTACTAATCGTCAAGACCATTTGTTTCCAGGTAGACATGAGGAAAAAGAAGTGTTTTTCGAACGACTACCTTGAAAATACCTTACTAAAGTTTTAAAGCTCCCTAGAACTCATTAAATTAAGCGTTCCACAATAAAGTCGAGTGCATGCAGTTCCGGTCTTTCGTCAGGATTATGGATGGACGCACGAGATGATGGGATTAGATGGGTTCAAGGAACCCCTTAAGTGATTAACCCCTGACAGAATTGAATTATATCAAAACAACTCAAAGAGAAGTTTAAAAAAACTGATGGCTTTAGCCGACGTGAGCCGAGAAAGTGTTTACCACTTAGAAATCAGAAAAGTGAGGAAGACATACATATGTGAAATGAATGTGTAAAGTGCAGAGGATGTCCATTTCAAGATTTTCGCCGAATGTCGTGTCATATTCCGACAGCACCACAGCGATGATAGTGATGGAATGACAGCGTCATGCTGTCAAAACCGAGCACTTAAAAAGCACTCAAAAGAATGGATTATGATGTACAAGGGCAGTTTTGAGCTGGAAAAACTTGCTGTGGCAGCAAGAGTCAATTGCTCGAACTACAGCTGGAACCAAGGACTGCGAAGGCCTGCTAAAAGTGGACCAGAGCCATCCGAGTGCGAATCGAGGCCGAAGGGCGGCGACACGGAGGACGGACAGCATCGCGCTTTTGAGCCGCACTCTAAGTGAGCGTCATGTTCAATATTGCCGTCTCCACACTTTTTTTGGATTCGAATGTGTGAGAGGCTCCATTCGCTAAGGAAGCGCTTTTTTACTAGCTCATAAAGGCACAAGCCAATTTCCAGTCATGAGCAATTGTCCTTGCAATGGCGAGTACTCCTTCCTTCGGAAGCTATAGATTAAGGCATGGACATTTGAATCCTAAGCATCATGTAATCGATATGAAAAGCGCTTACGTAATTGAAGTACAGAGAGCTATCATACTAAAAAAAATCCCCCATCAAGCAACAAAAAATAGTAAAGCTGTTGAAGAAACGCTTTCAACGGCACGTTCACAATTGAATGAATGATGTCCGTAACTGACTCGTCGAATACTGTACTCGAAGTACCGCAATTGAGAAAAAAAGAGTGGAAACAGTTCTGGAATGATGAAAAAGCAGTCAGAAGTTGGGCAACGAGCCCAATCCCGGGAAAAAACCTGATGACTAGATCGTCCCTAAAAAAGGTTAGGAAGCCTACAAGTGAAGCGAAATTCATTGAAAGGCGGCAGTATTCGAAACTCAGGAAGAGCAAAAGCCAATGTGGGGAATACATAGTAGGAAACTTGAATGGAAAGTTCCTCTTTCTGTTTCAGGGCACACAGGCCCATTCAGGGATATCCGTATAGCGCACCTGCCGTACAAGTGCGCTTTACCTGCAGTCCTAAGACTGAACTATTTCTCAATATTTCTACCAACAGTGAACGATACTCCTTGACTCTCGAACTACTAGTGGTACATTAGGTGCCAGCATAATTTGATAAACTTTTCTCAGCGAAGGTCGAACTGTGAACAAAGAAGTTATGCATGATTCTTACTCCAAGGCAGGGTGAAAGATGATCGAGGATTTGTCGACGACTCGTCGAGGATTTTCGCCTGTTCAGTCACGCTCTCCCGCGCGGACATTCACTCTCGCCACGCGCGAGCCGTCTGTGCTCTCCGCGCGTACATTCACTCTCGACACTACTCTCACACAGTACAGAGCCATGGTCGAGGATTTCTCGACCGTTATTCACCCTCCAGAAATGACTCGCCTCTATAAAGGCGTTGATTCGTTATCGGAAAAAAATCAAGCGTAGGATTGTCGACGTTTATTGCTCACAAAAAAACAATTCCCAAAAGGTGCGCATGTGGTCGGCAGTTGGGTAAGTGGTTTAAGTTGTTCATTAATCTATTATGACATGCACAAAATGAGCAATAGTATATGAAATGGTGAAATGAGAAGTCATCAGCCGAAAGAGGATCAGAAGAACTTCGGAGCTCAATATCGGCTTTACCAACCACAATTTTCAACATATATGTACATCGACGGAACGAATAATGCGTGAGCGGAAGAGGGTGATTTTGACGGCGACAGTTCTTGATTGAGGAAGGAAAACAGATGAGATCATGACAGAGCGGGACCATTTGTCTCCGAAGCGCCTCCATTGCGTAAAGTGTGTAGTGCTAAGCTGTGATCGGGTTCAAGGATTGCCAGCTTTGCTTAAGTGATTAAACCTGCAAGAAGCAAGCGCTCTGACTGATACTTCTAAGCTGCTTTACGCTAGGGATAGTGTAGTGGCAACAGGGTCCGCTATCGCGTGCATGGCCCGACGATCGAATCTTAGGCGAGATCCTGCCTAATTCAAACAAATCCTGTTAATCTCTGAATGATTGGACGCTCCAAAATAAAGCTAGCTGAAATATGTTACACACATGGCTTTATTTTGAAAGAGTCAGCCTTTAACGGTTGAAGAAAACCGGACATTTCATGGTACAGGGGAGCAAGGAGAAATTGCTCCATTGGGTATCATTTTTATTCCAACTAGTACAACTAATCAAGCGGATTTATTACACAACTACATTATTCTAAAATTGAAAAAAAAATTTAAAAAAAGTCCAAGTATAACATTGGTTTGTTGGAGCACCAAATATAAAAATATCACTTATAAATAGCAGGATTACAATATTCAATTGTTGATGATGTGGAACCATCAGAATGGTCAAATAATTTTACCCTCGGAAATTTTTTTGCAAATGTCATCGAAAGAAAAGAGATACTCCTCACAGAAGCTGACAATTTCGAAGGAAAAGTGAACAATTCACTATTTTTCTCGAATCCCTCATTAAAACGGCCGGAAGTCTATGAAAAAGAAGCTGGAATATTCATTGCATAGCCAACGAGTCCTAATTGCTGAGCTGCGGCATCGGCGCCCAGCAGCCGTGACGACGAAGGGTAGGCTCGGGTAAGAAGTCAAGTGAGAAGCAGCAGGTGCGATTGAACACCTCTGCTATGCTAACTTAGCCATACCTCGGTCATTACCCTTAGCACAGCGACAGGAGCACTCAACTGGAAGCCAATGAAGTTAACCACTCCTATCCTGATGACATTTTCACACAAAGCACACTTCAAAATGCGATCAACCGCCTGAAATACAGCCGAAAAAAAAACATACTAAGTACTAAAATTATAGCAGTAATAGTAATAGTAACCTTTGAACGCAGGTGTTTCCCCAGCCTCAAAATTCGATAGTAAAATGAGCTAGAAGCAGTTGCACATACATAAAACACCACTTACAAAGTCAGCCATTTACTCCGTCGTAATCACTCGTGAATAGCCGACGTGTGCGAAAGTCGAGCGCCGACTCAGCTCCCAGTGGAATGGTCAAAACGGGGACATAGATATTCTCGAGTGGCCGAATCAATGCAAGAGCTGAATAGCTTTCTTTCTCTCTTTCTCTCCGTTGCCAATTACACATTATTAAAAGAACTGACATACTTTATGAATATTGGCTGAAGTACTTTATCCACAGAAGGGAACAACTTTTTAGGGGGCATTCCTCGGGCGGACCAAAAAATCGCAAAAAAAGGCAACCCCATCAATTTTTAAGGAACTGAGGAAAAACTTGGTGGGCACGCAAGTGCTGTAGCAAAGTGCGTTGCTGCAATTCCTCGCTGGTTTGCCTTCATTTGTCCCCACGGGTTCATTGAAGACTCTATTCCCAATATGGCACAAGTTTGATGAAAAACGAACTACCACGAGGGTCGAAGCAACTATTTTTTGAAGTTGTTTTTGAATGCTCTTGCAATCAACTCTTTATTTACAGATAATATATACAAACAAAGCAGAAAAATAAACAATTATCACGACTCCGTGTTGCTCTTCCGATTTCCGCTCGTCAGGTTCTTGAAGAAGGTTTTCAGTGACGGCTTCGATGCTGACATCTTCATCGTGCCCGAACATCTGAAGCACAACTGATCTCGTGTGCAACACCCATAATCCCAACCAACGACTAGAATCAATTTCAAAACTTTTCATGACTCAGAATCGAAAGTGGTGAAGGTTGGAGACGTGCGATTTGCACGATTTGCGCCCCCCAAGTCAAGTCAAGTCTCACACTTTCCCTCAATTGGCGAAATGATAAGATAGCTGTTTTGGAACGATAATAGCATTGATTCGGACGTCAAATAAACCTCGTCACTGATTTGGTTGACCGATCCCTGTTAAAATCTTCATGATCCTGGAAGAATACCAAATGCCCGAAGCATCCCAAATGCTCCCATCTATGTATGAAGTGCCCCACATTTTCCTATGTAATTATATTTCATCCGTTACTAAGCTTCTAGGTTCCAGGAACCACATCCATGATCTGTGGATTGACTCTGTGGAAACCATCCCATGGGCAAATATTATACGTGGTAATGAACCCACCATTTCGGAAAACGAGAAGAGCACCGAGTGCAGACTACAAACCACAAGTGACGACGGCCAAGAAGAGAGGAAAAAAAGCCACTCTTTTCTTGGCTGTCGTCACTTGTGAGTTCGACCTACTCGACGCGCTTCTTGTTTTCCAAAATGGATGTACGTTCTACTATGGCATCAACTCCAGAATCAGCCTTCGCCATTTTTAATGCAAGCAGAACGATAACAACAGCTTAAAATTCTGTCAAATTTAATAGTGAAACACGGAAAAGCAATATTCTACGGATATAGCGTTAACCTTGGATTTGACAGGATAGCCACTACCCTGAGAAACATTTAGCTATTTCGGCTTTTAAGGGTCCACACAATTATATCCTCACGATTGCTTTTCTAGGGATCAGGGTGAACCTGGTTGGATAACCTGACAGGTTCGTACTCTCCTTCGCAGAAGACGGAAAACGTGCTCGAGATTTTAGGGTGTCGTGGGGGAAAGTGGTCAACGGACTACTTGAACTCAGCGCTTTAAACCCCTCTGCTCTCTCGCGGGTCCCTCTCCTCTCCAAGGCTTAGTCCTAGGGCATTCACCCGTTCTCTAATCGTCTGTGCTCTAGCCATCGCAGTAGTCCGTAAACCAGGGGAAACTGCGAGCGATCGGAGGGAAAATGGAAGAGTGGCGTAGAGCGTAGAACTTGCTGTTCCAGCAGTAACATACACTCCACCAACTTTGGAGGAATTTGGGTGGCGGAGTTGATATGCCAGACCGAGAAAGCTTCAAAGACACAACCAACGGCATCGGCCACAGGGGCCGTAATGATCATGGGGGATACTTGTGACAGGGAACTACCTAACTAGAGGGGCTACAGCAATTTGGTTAACATGGGTGACGCATGAAGACAAGAACACGGAGATGGACGTGGGTTCACCCGATTCCTAAACAGTTACTGCGAAAGATGTCAAGTACGTGGACACAGCACTATCGTAAGCGAGCTGACGGTGGACCATGTAGAACTAGAACAATCACGACGAGCCCTCGCTCTGAGCCCAGAAGAGGGGAGAGACGATAGGGAGAACATAACCTGCTCACATCTTCATCCAAACGACCTTCCCCTCCCTGAGGCCTAGTCCCAAGCGTTGTAAATAGGCTCACTCACTTGAATGTCCACCCCCCCCCAGCGACGTGAGCGCCAAGTGGATCTCTACGCAATCGTCCGAGTATCTAGACGACGAAAGATCAGATGTTCAAGATAATGTTAACATGTTCAAGATAATAGGTAGATATGACGATGCTGTGGCAGCAAGTGCTGGCCTTAGAAGTATAGAGCAGTGCGTAAGAGGAAACCTGTGAGACATTCACTTCCTCGATGCTAACATGGACCTGCGGCTGGATGTGATAGGGCGGCATTAGCAGCATGGACGCCAGGGCAGTAGAGACTGAGCTTGTTAAGCCTGAGTGGGAACAGCGGCTGCGATGTACACGTGTTGAGGGCCACAAGATATTTCATCAGGAAGCTCTAGCCTTCACAGCAAAAAGCAAGCGACCACGAGAGTAAAGAAAGGATTGAAAAAGACGGTATGACTTTATCAAGAAGGACTTCACTGAAGGCCACTGCATAACATACCTTGATTAAAGGAAAAAGCGACACCACCAAAAGCCAGACCTGTGCAGAAAAGGAGTTGACGCTAAGGAGAAGAAGAAGAGGCATGATCAAAATAAGCAATGAGAAAGCACTATGTGTCTTGAGTTAGCAACTAAATCGTCTACCATCTCGCTGGCACGTTCTACACCAATGCAGCTATGTGTGTTGATAAAGTCTTCTGACGACACAAAAGATTAGCTGCCCCGTAATCCGATCGCGACATACAGGATCCTAATCATGTCGCAACGATTTAAGTTGGTAGAATAAGATCGAGCGCATTGGAACAACGTTCATAAACATAAAACTCATTTGCAAAAGAAAATCATGCAGACTCATTCACTAAGGCCCAATAGGAAAATTTCCCAAACGATTGGTCACATGTTAAAGACCTCACTATTTCTGCAAATGTGGTACAATCGATTATGAGCATGACTTTGCAGATGCAGTCGACTTAATTGGTGTGCACTTTTGGAACAAAAAAGCATCTATGGATTGAGACGTAAAGAAGAATTCACAGTATGGCATTTATGACATGCTCATTTAGAAGCACATACTGATAACCATTCTTCGAAAAAGGGTTTGGTGATCTGCCCGCGCTTTGATGTCAGGTGTGGAGTCATGTGGGCTGAGCTTTAACAAAATTTGAAGGGGGGTTAGATTCCTGCTTTATATGTTTTCACTGGCAATCATCGATTAGAGTCCAACCCTTTACTAATAAATCGAGAAAAATAAATAGAAATCTATTCAAATAACATACTGAGCAATTACGGCAAAGTCGTCCATGAGCTCATCTTCGAACGGATTCATCATTCCATAGCTACTCTGAACATAGAGTTTAGTCACTTTCAAATGGATATCATAAACTACCACAAAATGTCAATCGATAGTGCATGTATGTACACACGGAAGGCGCACAGGCACAATCTAAACAACTTCGAAACATAAACTTACCGCATGTGAACGTTCGGTGGAATTTGCTTGCTCAACTTCCTCGGATATCATTTCGATCATTTGCACGAGATGTGATCGTGGAGCAGATTGAATTGCTATTCGTACAAAATTATGGAATGAAATCACGAAAATCTCCCTCCATTCATTGCTGTAGTACTTGCGGTACGCTTGGCATCCTTCTGGTTTCGGATGATATGGAAACGCTGAAAAAAAGCCAACATAATTTGAGCATATTCGGTAAGAGAATATGAATAAACTAATTGTGTCACTGTAAATGCCAGAAAAGTAAAATGAAGAGAAGAGAAACAAATAACACAAAACCACAATGAAACTATTCTTGAAAGGAGCTAAGCTTTTAAAACTCGACTACTTTGGTCAAAACACTGGAAAATAAGATCCTGAATTGAAGATATGGGACGTACCGAACCATTCAGTCCAAGTGGGATTATTTTGAGTTAGAGAAGCACACTTGAGGAAGAACTGATTACACTTATCCATGCGTTTATTCTCCATGCACTTGACTAGATACAGTCGATACATATCAGTTTCATAGACAGTGGTCAATCGTGCATTTTCCTGAAAAGCTGTGTTAGAACTCACTGCAAGTCAAAAGCACATTGGCAATAGGATGAAAACCACATTCCTATTAAGCAGGCTTCTGAACCCTATCTAGTACATGTGTTTTCATGCAAATCAAAATCGCCTCAACACGTAACGCTAGAAGGACTCCAGAAACACGACTTATCCACTTTGTTGTGGGAAGCGACACTCCTTCTGGCCTAATGCCTTGCCGTCACAGCAATGATGAACGGTTGTCAAATGCTATACTTACTTCAGGAGCTATCACAGTAGGAGAAAGGCTGAGGTCGACCCAATAAGGACCTCAGCTCCTGAATAAGGAGTGGATGGGGAGGGGGTATTTTGGTAACAGTTTATGCGGAATACGGCACCACCAACCTATAACCCCTTCGAAGTTGTGACCCGCTTCCAAGACATTTCCTCAATTTTTTTTATTCAAAATGCTCGACGCTTACTGGTGCTGGAAGTTGAAAAAAGGATGGGAAGCCACGGATGAGAATTCTTGTCTGAGCCCATACAAAAATTCAGCTTTCGCCATTTCTGAGATACGGTGCTTCTGCGCTGTGGAATGAAGGGAAGCTTCTAACGGAAACATTGAAACGGTGTGAGGGCCACAAATTGCTAGAAAAAAATGAAAAAAAAATTAAGAAGAAGTGAAATGGACTCACACCTGACAAGGAATTGAAGACTTTTGACTTCCACAGATCCCATAAGGATCTTAGTACGTCTATATCGAGATTTTCGACGGCAGCTAACGTATCAGCAACAAATTTATCCACCTGAATGGCACGTTGCAAAATTTCAGTTTGGTAAATTGAATCAGCTGACATCGAAGATTTTATCAGGTATGAGAAACTACGAAGGACATCTAAGGAGTTCGCATTAGGAGCGAAGAAAGATCGCTATTATAGTAGCTATTTTTCAAAACCTATAAAATGCATCGTTACATTAGTGATAGATCGATTACCTACTAAGTTTAAAGAAAAAAGAATTCACAAAAACGTCACCAACCTGAAGTTTTAAATCCTTTCCGGACTTGGAATCCAAATCAAATGCCTTGAGAGCATTGTACAGCCCATGCAGTAGTAAATGTTCACGTACTAAAGAGTCGGTGATAGTAGAGGCTCCATTCATAGCAATACGCACGATAAAATGCTATAATGAACAGCACGTTACAGCAACAAGTTACACTGCTTAAAACTAAACAGACACAAACTCACTTCGTTTTAACCTCGACGGAATTTAGCAGCAAACAGTTCTACTGGTGCGAAATTACCATAGTACTACCAAAACATCATAATAATAGAATGAGAGAAGAAAATTAGCCAAAGCAGAAATTAGAAACAAGAGTTGCACTCACTCCAAAAATACCATCAACGGCAATCGTTGCGGGGCCTGGGCAAATAAACAAGTGGTCGAAATGAAAACTTCCCTTGACGTCAAATAAGATGCGTCGCGTCCATTGCAGATATTGCGCCCTACTTTGCGCGCAGGGCGGAAGTGGTGTAGTGGCAAGTGGCACGCTTACCACGCGAGCGGTCCGGGGATCAAATCCTGGGTCGTGAGTCGCCCGGGCCAACCAAGCCTTCCATCCCTCCGGGGTCGGTTAATTGGTACCAGACTTGTCTGGGAGGATAAAAAACACTGACTTGTACATCGGCTGGCCCCCGCAAGTCATTGTATAGGCCACATCGCATTCAAACGCCACTACGAATGTACAAATGGAAGTAGAATGCGTGCCGCATCCCAAAAAGGGATTGATCAACGGCAAATGCTTTATCCTTTTATCCTTACTTTGCGCGCAGCACATCGCTGCGGTTTGAAATGAACCCGTCGTTACGACTATTCATGTAATCAAAGTAGTATGCGAGAGTGAAAGCGGAGACTGCACATAGTATGTAACTCGGGAAGGAAGTTCGTCTACAACATTGCTCTCCTGTTACGGTAACGTATAGTTCCAGGCTGAAGTCTTGGGAAAGCAGCTACACATGTATAAGCAGTTTACATGCCCACGGACTTCTTCTTCTATTCTTGGGCTTGAAGTCTCTTACGCTTCAGACATATAGATGAGTGTCTTCTTCTTCTTCTTCTTCTTCTTCTCCCTAGCGTTAGTCCCGCGCAGTCGCAGGGTCCGCTGTTTTTGTCAGCCGTCGCCACTTTGCTCTGTCCAGGGCATCTTCCATCGTGGCCGCGACCTCACCTAGGTCCTTCTTGATTACGTCTTTCCACCTTTTCTTCGGGGCTCCTCGCGGTCGCTTGCCTTGTACTTCGAAGTCCATCGCTGTTCTTATCGGATGGTCCTGTGGCCTCCTTAGCACATGCCCATACCATCGCAGACGCTGTTCTCGTACCTTTAGTTGGACAGGGGCAGTCTGCATGACCGCTCTGACGTCCTCGTTTCTAACCTTGTCCAATCGCAGGCCCATCTCAGCATCCTCATTTCGACAGAGTGGAGCTGCCGTTCCCGATTCTTGTTCAAGGCGCATCTTCTTCTTCTTCTTCTCCCTAGCGTTAGTCCCGCGCAGTCGCAGGGTCCGCTGTTTTTGTCAGCCGTCGCCACTTTGCTCTGTCCAGGGCATCTTCCATCGTGGCCGCGACCTCACCTAGGTCCTTCTTGATTACGTCTTTCCACCTTTTCTTCGGGGCTCCTCGCGGTCGCTTGCCTTGTACTTCGAAGTCCATCGCTGTTCTTATCGGATGGTCCTGTGGCCTCCTTAGCACATGCCCATACCATCGCAGACGCTGTTCTCGTACCTTCAGCTGGACAGGGGCAGTCTGCATGACCGCTCTGACGTCCTCGTTTCTAACCTTGTCCAGCCGCAGGCCCATCTCAGCATCCTCATTTCGGCAGAGTGGAGCTGCCTTTCCTGATTCTTGTTCAAGGCCCAGCACTCGCTGCCGTAGAGCATCGCAGGCCTTACCACTGTCCGGTACACCTTCCCTTTGAGCGCTCTGGAGCACCTTCGATCGCAGAGGATTCCAGTGGACTCCCTCCATTTCATCCATGCAGCGTTGACCCGAGCCTTCACCGCCTGATCCACACTACCGTCGGCTGCCAGATCGCTCCAAGGTATCGGAAGTCCTCCACTCTTTCGATGGTCTCACCATGGCCGTCCACGATCGGCTCTGCACCCTCTTCAGCTCAGGAACTTGGTCTTCTTGACATTCAGCCGGAGCCCACCTTCTGCCAGGACTTTCTGCCATTTCTGCACCTTGGCTTGAAGTTCCTCTCTGCTATCCGCTATCAAGGCGATGTCGTCAGCGTAGAGGATGGTCTTCAGTGGTCCCTCCATGAGCCCCTTCACCAGGACATCTAGTGTTAGGAGGAAGAGGAACGGGCTCAGAGCTGACCCTTGGTGCACCCCAACCGTGATGTCCACCTCCTTCGTTAGGCCGTATGGGGTGCGTATAGCTATAGCCTAGGTAGCAAGGCCTGCGCTTTTCGCGATACTTTTCCATCACTTGCCTAGCGATGAAGCATCCGTTGTAGACCTTTCGGCATGAACCCGAACTGTTCCTGGGAGATCGGGACCAGCTCCCGCAGCTTCGAGTCGACCAGCCGCTCGTACAACTTCATGGTATGCGCAGTCAACTTGATCCGCGGTAGTTGGAGCAGTCCATCGCGTCACCCTTCTGCTTGAAGATGGGGACGATAGTACTTGTTCTCCAGGCATCCGGCATCCTTCCTTCCACAGTTACCGTGTTCAGGAAGCGGGTGAGCCACCTTACCCCGTGCTCTCCGAGCGCCTTCCAAGCCTCTATGGGTACTCCATCCGGACCAACTGCCTTTCCAACCTTCATCTTCCCAAGTGCACACCGAACCTCATCCTCTGTCCAGAGTGCGATGGGACCAGCTGTGGCCTCTGCCCGTGAGTTGTTCTTGTGGGAGAACTCCTCGTTCAGAAGACCTCTGAAGTACTCTTCCCACCTCCTAACTTCGGCTGGCTTCCTCAGGATGGCGCCGTTGCTGCTCTTCACGCTCTTCACCACCCTGATATCTTGAGTAGCCCGATGCCGGGCTTTGGCCAGTCTGAAGACGAACTTCTCTGCGTTTCTGCTTTCCAACTTCTCGTACAAGGCGTCCATCCGTGTTCTTAGCGAGCCTCTTGCAACTCTTGTAGGTAGCGAGGTCCTCGGGGCTCCGGGTCTTCTGCCAGCGCTTGTATGCTTCCTTCTTCTGCTTCACGACTCGCTGGACCTCCTCGTTCCAGAACCACGCTGCCTTGTCTCCTCTGAATCCACCTCGCGTCTCGCCCAGTACCTCCTTGGCGCATCGTAGGATGATCTCAGCTGCATTGCCCCAAGTCTGCTGCACTGGTCCTCAGGATCTGGGAGACCAACTTCCATTATCCTTTGTATGAGTTTCCTCAGATAGGGCTTGAAACGCGCTTCCCAAGGGTACATAAAATGGTATCATTTTGCAAAAAAAATAACGTGGAACGATGTGGATGGAACCTGGATGAAACCATGAACGAGAGAACTTCTCTTGGCTCGTAGACGACGTCAGGATTCCGGACTATTCGTCCGTCGACAGCAACACCATTTTACACCACCAACTAGTAGGTCCGGCAATGCCCGATGCCCGTCGACCGGCGTTCCAGAGCTACTGCTTCCTTGAGGGTAAAAGCATCTGTGGCTTGAATAGTGTTTACTTAGTTTAGGTTCATGCAGCGGTTCGGATTTTGTCTGAGATGATTCCTGTGGGCCGAGTCATTACTATTTTTCTACCGCATATCGCGAGGCACTGATAACACAGTTAGCTTCAAAATATGTGTAAATGTGATCCTGACGTGATCAGATTGATTTGTAATTCAACCAGATTCGCCTCGCGAAACCCATCAATCAATGTTGAGGAAGCCAATGGATATCGATATGCGCTATATGGTTGTGCGTGATCAACCCAATTCACCTGGTTTTGAAACGGTGCTACTAATAACGAAATTATGCCCTTAATATTGTCCCATAGGTGATTTTCAAATAGATTTGAAAGTAGTCGTAAATTCCCCCGCTAAGGCCCACCTCTTCGTCAGCAGCGGAAAGCCTAGGATGGGAAGGACGTGTCCTTGCAAGTTTTCCAGCAACAACAGCAAGGTTTGTGCCAACAATCGTGCTATCCTCATCGGCGCCACCCCTCTTATAACTGCTATCGTTTACTACATCAAGTGTCTCATAACATGACTGAGAGTGTATAGTAGCTTTTTTTCTTTTTTACACTGGTATTGCTATGTGGAAGCAGTGTGGCAAGTGGCGCGCTTACCACGCGAGCGGTCCGGGGATCAAATCCTGGGTCGTGAGTCGCCCGGGCCAACCAAGCCTTCCATCCCTCCGGGGTCGGTTAATTGGTACCAGACTTGTCTGGGAGGATAAAAACACTGACTTGACGGCTGGCTCCTTTTTATTCTTTTACTGCTGCATCTATTGCTGCGGGTCTTGCCTAACTCTGTGGAACTCAACGGACGGCGAGGCCTTAACGCCCTAATCGTAGACCTTTGTGAGCAGCTTTACAAGCTTAAGTGATCAGTAAACCTGAATCTGGCGTCAAGTGCCTTTAAAGCCTTTAGTGCGGAGAATACACAGTATTTAGCAATGACAGCTAGCCGGTGACTAGCAAACCTTATCATCAAAATTTAAGGGAAGTTACGGAGTTATACAGTGTTGCAGTAACTTTACAAAAGCGACGCGGAACCTGGTGCTTGCCCGAGAATCATTCTT